AAGAAAACAGAACATATTGATCTCCCTTAGTCCAACAGAAGTTATTTTAAAGATTAGATTTGACCATGACATTGTGATTACATGTTGATATATGTATATGTGTTGGACACTGACTCAAGCCACATTTTAAATTTATTCACTTGTACTGATATGTTAAAATAAAGTGTTTTAATGAAATTCTTGTTCATTCAAGACTTGACTTTTGTGTATTTTATTAGGATGTTTATTGTAATAACACATTAGAACAAAGTGCAAAGGGTATTTATTTTTTTTTTAGAAAAATTTATCTTCTTTTTATTTCATTTGTTTTTGAATTGATAAATTTGAATATTGATGGGGAGTTTTTACCAATGTGTTATCAGTGATGCCATATGGAGTTAAAAATGACCTTTTCTACCTGTGAAATGTTCACAAATGAACAAAGAAGCACATATTTCTATTTTTTAAAAAACAACACAAGAAATAGACCGGGGCGAATCCAGGGATATTTTCTGACAGTATTCCAAATTATTTTTTGATCAATTTCCCCATTTTTGACTGTCATTTGACAAAAAATTAGATGCACTTCAATGAAAACTTGAAAATTTTGACCATCTTCTGAAAGACCCAGGATGTGGCTTCCATCTGACCATTGGTACACTGAAGTGCAGCAAGTAGTGTCAGTAAAAAAAAAAAAAACAACAAGGAAGCTAATGAATAAAAAAGAGCAGATATACTAACGGTTACTTCAAAACTTCCTTGTCAACATTTCATGAGGTGTAAACAAAAACTAAAAAATTTTTTGGCAAATCCATCAGTAGATTAGCACACTAAAAAAAACTGTAGGTGGAAATAAAATCAAGGCAGTGCCCTCAAGCGCTACACTGCAACCTGTTGTCAGGGATTTTTTATTAAGTGGCACCAACTTCATTCCTAACAAAAAATTCTAATCAGTATATCTGTAAAGGAAAAGATTTAGTATATAAATACACAGAAAGATCTGCTTTTGACAGGAAGGAAAAAAAACAGTTGGCAGTCTTGCATCATTAGTGGGAGTGAGGACACCACAATAATTTTGATTTCCATGCAGTGGAACGTACAGAACAAGAGTTGAGATAAGCACAATTAAGCCAGCATATCAAGCTGCTCAATGCTGGGCTATTGTCTATGTTTGCTGGGGCTTAAATAGTACACAATTTTTACAAACCAATGGAGGTAAGCAGAAAAGAGTGTTTGGTTCAGCCTGTCTACATGACAATGTGTTAGCACTGTGACAGTGTCTGTTAACTGGGGGGGGGGGGGCATTCAGATAAATCCCACCATACTAGCCACATCCATTCAACTCTGCAGGAATTCTAGCTTGCCGCCTAGACCAGCAAGGGGGCATTAACTATTGTGCATGCACGTTGAGTTAAAGGCTCCAGGAAGCTCTTTCACTCGAGGAGGCGTGTCAGGCAATTAAGCTGATTATACTGATTGCATTTTAACAAGAATCCCCACAGAATTGGATCTATCCAGCTAGTGCAATGGGTTTACCTGGATGCTGTGTAAGAAACTGCTTCAATATCAATATTGGGCGAGGGGGGTTACAGTCAGAATTAAGTAGATTTTTATTTTTATTTGCTTTAATAATCATCTAAAAAAGAAGTGTTTTGGAAATTTTAAATGGTTACAATTAAGTTTTTTTGAAGTGTTTATATCTTTCTTCACATTTCATGACCTGATGTTGGTTAATACAGACGTAAAAGAGTTTTTGGGCAATGAATAAATTAAGAATTTATAAATTAGGGCTCAATTGTCAAGTTGTAAACAGATGAGATTGGAGAAAAATCTTTCCTGATAGTCTTCAAGGACCATTCAGAAATTGACCTGAGCATGATACAGAATGAAAGAGCATTTCTAAAAATAGATGAGAGACCAGGAAGACCTTTTAGCCTGTCCTTAGAAATGTCAAATGAATAGGTCATTTACAAATGCAGACTTAGATAGTGGTCACTTAGTGAGAAAGGCCTTTTAAAATCACTCCATTGACCCTGTGTCATTCTTCCCAGTTGGGGATTTGATTTATTTGGGGATCAGTTTTACAGAGTGAATTTTGATTATATATTTGCACTAGCAAACCCAGGATTTTGCTGGGGGAGGGGGTTAGGTTACTTTTTACCATGAGTCACTCTGCAACTCTAAAACAGCATTTTTTACCTTTGAAAAAGTACTTAAAAGTGTGAAAAACTGCCTTGCTCATGTATATCTAAGTTTGATATGCTTGATTATTTATTCCAAATCCATAATATCTAGACTTTAGGCATGGAAATTTCATTTTTTTTTTTTTTTTTGTGCTTGTTTTGCTCCCTTTCTGTTTTTAAGTGGAGGAAGCTGGGATCCCCAAATCAGGGGAGCACATTTATTCTGTGTACCATTCTAGATCCCCCAGTGGTTTGGATAAGTGAAATAACTATTAACTGAATGTTTGAACAATTTGACAGCATCACACCTGAGAGGAGTTCTCAGTATAATTGAAAGAATAATATAATAATTAATCATGTGAAATTTCCTCATGTGCCAGGAGCATTTTTGCATTAATGATGGTTTACCTCACAATATTTTGCTGAAATGAAATTTTGTGAAAAACATATTCATTTCAAATAACAAAGTAGATAAATTGTGATTTTTATGTACAGACACAGATGTGTCTGTACATATAGTAGTCACCTGCGTCTGTATTCGCTGCTGTCGCCGTCGTCGTGCACTTTTACCAATAACATGATAAGTGAAAACCGTTTTTTCTTTTGGCTTGAAACTTACAGATCTGATAAATATTCATAATACGCAGGTCAAGTTCGAAAATCAGCATGATTGGATCATTTTTATGGAAGTTATGCTGTTTTTTCACTTTTTTCAGCATATATGCAATACAGATAACATGGTAAGTGAAAAAACATTTTACCTTGTGGCTTAAAACTTACAGAACTGATGAATATACACAAGGTGTTACTCTGAACTCTATGGGCTATAGTTACATTTTCTGAATATCCATGATACTTTTATTTTATTATTAAAAAATTATGGTTATTATGCTGTTAAGCATTGTGTAATATTGCATCAAAATTGAACAAAACCCTCCGTAGTGGCGGTGAAAGGAAAACCATGTCACTTGCTCTTCTCACACTTACAGGAAAGAAACATAGGACTGAAATACAGCTTCATTTGAAAAATTGTCTCATTAGTTAATTGTTTGGAAGTAATACAGGTTTTTTGGTAACATTTTTATCTTTCACATGTTGCAATTTTCAATGTGGGACTTATAGCTCCCTTGGGCATGAAGCCCAGTGGTAATCAAATTTTCTTAATGTCCATGTTTTTAATAGTAGATATTTAAAAATTGGTGGT